TGGGCACACACACACACACACACACACACACACACACACACACACACACGCATACACCTGCACACATGCATACACAATCTAAAATAAAAACTCTTAAAAACAAAGCCAGGCAGCACGGAGAGCAGTGAGAGGCATTCTTTCACACAGACCCCTTGCTGTTTTTCTCTACAGGTCCCTCAGTTCTGTGAGACACAGGGAAAGGGGCCAGCCTTGTATCTGCCTGCTAGAATTTAATGGCAGGTTCTGGAAGGTTGAGTTTGAGTCACGGGGCCAGACAATGATAATCCCTGTGTCTCCCTCTGATTGTGTGTATGTCTGTCTCCATTGTGTGTATGTCTTGTTCCTGGGAGCTGAGCAGAGGGCTCCTGTTGTCTGGCCTGTGACTTGTGAGAGTGGGTTGGCAGCGCTGGGGAACTTGGACCGTTGTGAGATGGATCATGGAAGGTGGAGAGGGAGTTGGTCCCTGCTTTTGCGTGTGCAGCATGCCTTGAGCAGAGCCTCAGAAGGATCCACCACGGCTACCCTGGTGACAGGAACCCAATGTGGGCATTACTGTCTCTTGCTTCAGATGTCACCCCTAGATCTCAGTGAGGTGCTCTGAGTTCATTTTCTTTTAAGATTTTATTTTTATTTGTGTGTTGTGTTGTGTGTATGGCAGAGATTGTTGTGCATTATGTATTCAAAGAGGCCGGAATAGGACGTTGGGTGCCTGGAGGCTCTAGAGCTGGAGTTACAAGTGGTTGTGAGCCACCCAGTGTAGATGCTGGGAATTGAACTCTGGTCCTCTACAAGAGCAGTGTGTGCTCTTAACTGCTGAGCCTTCTCTCTCTCCCCTCTGGGTCATCGTTTCTATCAGATAATGGAAATGGGGATTTTTTTTTCCCTTCAGTACTGGAGACTCTCTTGCAAACACTCAACACTGAGCTACAGCCCCAGGCTAAGGGGGCAAAAAAAAAAAAAGTCTTTTTGCAACATGGTTTCATGTAGCCAGGCTGGCCTTAAGTGCCCTGTGTAGCTGAGGATAACTTTGAACTCTGATCCTCCTGCCTCAGACCCCCAAGTGCTGAGATTACAGGAGTGTGCCATTATGCCTAGTGGTGCTAGAGACCGAATCCAGAGAACTATACTTGTCAGACAAGTGCTCTTATCAACTAAGCCATCTCCCCAGCCTGAGACTGTTCTTTAAAGCTTTTTTCCTTAGGACAAGGGAGTGTTTGGAGCATACAGGACCAACTGTCATATAAAGGATCTTGTTCTCTGGTCAGCTCCTTGCATGTATCTGATTTGGGATGAACTGGGGGCCCTGTCTTGTCTCTCTTGTATAGGAAGACTTAATGCCTGATCCCTTTCCTACAGACCCTCCTGCTATAGAGATAAATACCCCAGAGTGGTAAAGAGGTCTGGTTGTGACCTGTCTCAGCCTAATGAATAGGCTCTGAACCTCCCTACCTTGACTTCACCCACTACAAACCACTGGGAGAGACAGACAGAAAAAGGAGGCGTGGGTGCGTCAGAACGGTTCCCTGGTGGCACAGATACCCCATTTTCGGCCAGAGCCACAAGTAATCGGTACAAAGGGCTCTTGGGAAGCTGTTGATTTTGTTTCTCTCTCTCTTTCTCTCTCTGCCCCCATCTGTCCGAGTGTGCTTGTGTGTGTGTATGAATGTTTGTGTGTGTGGCGGCACCTTCGGTCACGTGTCTTCCTTCGTCACTCTCTATCTTTTTGTAGACAGAGTTTGAGTTGAACCCGAGGCTGGCCAACTGGGCTAGGCTAGCTGACCAGTGAGCTATGCACCACTCTGGCTTTTCCATGGGTGCTGGGGTCCCATGTCCTCATGGCTGCATGACCAGCACTTTATCTACTGAGCCGTCCGCCTGCCTGCTCTTGTTTTGTTGCATTGAGGCAGGGTCTCTCTCTGTAACGTAAATACTGGCCCCAAACTCATTTACATTACAGCTTCCCGAGTGCTAGGATTACAGTGCCGACTGCCATACCTAGCTTCCCAGGAACTTGTTTAAGATAAAGGATAGACGAGGCCGGCCATATAGCTCAGGGTGAAGGCACTTGTTACCAAGTGGGATGATCTGGGTTCCACCCAAAGGCCCACATGATGGAAGGAGAGAACTGACTCTTGCAGTTCTTCTCTGACCTCCATACCCACACCATGGCACATGTACACACACACACACACACACACACACACACACACACTCACACACTCACACACTCACACACTCACAAAAAGCTTGGATGCTGTGTTGACAGGGGGTGGGCTGCCCAGAGACCCTCACTTTTCGCTTCGCCCTCTGCCCTGAGCAAGTAGCTGACTTCCTGGAAGAGTGATGTCCTAGCTTGCATCCTACACCCCCGTGTGACTTAGGCCTGGCCTTTGCAATAATGATACCTTAGTAGAAAAGGAAACCAGAGATAGACAGAGTGGGCTGGCAGCCCTGGAGCCTGGCAGCCCAGCCCTGTGCCAGGCTCCAGCCATAGGTGTCACCCTGAGAGTTTTCCAGTTTAGGAATCCTCGTGCTTCAGACATTCCAACACATTCCTCCTCTCGGGCCCCAGGTTGCTTCCTTCTACCTCAGATTCTGGGCTCTAGTCCCTATCTGAACACTCAGGTGTCTTGGCACATGCCTCCAGGGCTCAGTAGCCTGCAGCCTGGCCACTCCCTAACCCTCCAGGCCCTTAACTAGAGCACAGCCACGCTCCAGCTTGCTTTTCCCCAGCCTGCTTTTCCGGTTGGGGATTGGAGGTGGTGCCCAGAGCACCCCTGTCAGGGGGCACACCCCGGAAGTCTTAAGCCCGGGGACACTCTGGTGGTAGGGTGGAGGTGAGAGGGCAGATAGAGAGAAAAGCATACAGAATGAATGTCACGGGCTTCCTCCTTCAGAGGCGGTGGCTCCAGGAGGAGGCTGGAGCAGCTGCCCTGTGTTTTTACTCTCATGAGTTCTAAGAGGACAGGCAGAGCAGGATAAGTCGGGGCTCTGGGGAGCAGGAAAAGCTACGAACCTGGGGAGGAGTGAGTTCTGAAGGAAGCAGCAAGACCCCGGCCAAGAGGAGAACCATAAAGTTCATAGATTCTCGAAAGTTCTGGCAGAGCTGAGTGTACTGGGAGCACTGGCCTGTCTGCTCTCTCTGGGCTTTCCTAACAGGCATACCCTGCTCTCACCGTGATGTCTCAACCCCTCTTGTCTCCCGACTCCTCTAGGCAGGATGATCCCAGTGGCGGAGTTCAAGCAGTTCACAGAACAGCAGCCTGCATTCAAGGTGCTGAAGCCCTGGTGGGATGTGCTGGCCGAGTACCTTACTGTGGCCATGCTCATGATCGGGGTCTTCGGGTGCACCCTTCAGGTGAGGAGTGAGACAGGAAGGGCAGAGCCCCACGGCTGGCAGCCCTTAGGGTCAGACTTTGAGGACGTGCCTTCTTGACAAGGGGTGAGACGTGAAGAGGCAGGCCTGCGCTGTGGCATGAGCTCTCTAGACAGAGTCAGAGCAGACAGGGGAAGGGTTTGAAGGGTCTGGGTTTCACTTTGGCCATATTCGTGGCTATGCTAATGACTGGGGTCTTGGGTTGCTCTTTCCAGGTGAGGGGTGAGGCCAGAGAGTGGTGAGGATGTGAAGGAGTGGCGCCACACCTTGGCAGTGCTCCTCACGAGGGTCTTTTTTAAAAAATGTATTCTTTTATGTGTATGAGTGTTTACCTGCATGTATGTACATGTGCCACATGTATGCTTGGTACCTGGGGAGGTCAGAAGAGTGTGTATTAGGATCCTTTGAGCTAGAGTTATGGATGAGAGGTTTTTTTGGGTTGTTTTTGGTTTTTTTGAGACAGGGTTTCTCTGTGTAGTCCTGGCTATCCTGGAACTCACTCTGTAGACCAGGCTGACCTCAGACTCACAGAGATCACCTGGCTCTGCCTCCTGAGTGCTGGGATTAAAGGCATGTGTCATCACCACTGCCGGCTGCTGTTTTTTATTTATTTGTTTTTTCTGGGTTCAAGTATTCTTAACCACTCTCTAGCCCCTTCTGCCATGAAGGCGCTGGACTTCACTGTGGCTGTGCTCCTGACTTGGGTCCTGAGCTGCACTCTTCAGGTGAAGGGCAGGACCATAAGGGAGCATGGTTTTACCATGGCAGCGCTTATGATTGGAGTGTCTTAACTGCACCATACAGATGGGTAAGGTCCTGCTATGATGATGAGATGGGAAAGTGTCCTCAACTGCACCCTTCAAGTAAAGAGTGATCTCTAAAGGGGTAGGCCTTGTACTTGAAGTCTGGAAGCCTTTCAGTCACCCAAGAAGAGGGAGAGAGAGCCTGGGCATCTTGTTGAGTGCCTATAACCCTAGTTCCTCTGTAGGCTGGGACAGGAGGATAACAAATTTGAGGTCAGCCTAGACATCTTAGCAAGACTATCTCTCAAAATTAAAATTAAGGTCAGGAAAAAAAAAATTAAGGTCAGGTGTGATGGTATACTTCTGGATTCCTAGCACAGAACATGACTTGGGATCTAGGTTCAATTAAAAAAAAATCAGTAATAAAATAAAAGAAGGGGTTGGGGATTTAGCTCAGTGGTAGAGCGCTTGCCTAGCAAGTGCAAGGCCCTGGGTTTGGTCCTCAGCTCTGGAAAAGAAAAAGAAAGGAAAGGAAAGTCAAACAAGAGGGAGCCAGTGCCGAAGCTCACACACAGACCACTCCAGACCCTTACTGTCCCTGTCTCCATCCCCACAAGCAGTGTTATTAAAGTCTACAGTAATATTAGGGTGTTTCCCCCACTGACACACTCTTTTCTTTCTTGTGGCAATGGGGATAGAATCAAGGCTTCCAATGCTACACAAGGTTCCTGCTGCAGATCCTAACTCTCAGCCCCTCCCTGGGGTCTCTGGGCTGGAACTCGACCAGAGCTGAATCCTGCCCACCTCCTCTCTTTGACCAGTGTCTACTGAAGTTGTGCCCACTCTGTAGCCCAGGCCTCAGTTTCCCAAATAACTAAGACTGTAGACTAGTATAGCCAGCCCAACTTCCTTTTCTTCTTCTTCTTCTTCTTCTTTTTTTAATATTTATTTATTATGTATACAGTGTTCTGTCTGCAGGCCAGAAGAGGGCACCAGATCTCATTACAGATGGTTGTGAGCCACTATGTGGTTGCTGGGAATTGAACTCAGGACCTCAGGAAGAGCAGGTAGTGCTCTTAACCGCTGAGCCATCTCTCCAGCCCTCCTTTTCATATAGATGGAATTTTGTTATTGATAGAACTTTAAATCTTTTAAAAAATTATTTATTTGTTTTTTTTTGAGACAGGGTCTCTGTGTAGCTCTGGCTGTTCTGTAACTCACCTTCTAGGCCAGGCTGGCCTCGAACACAGAGATTCGCCTGCTTCTGCCTTCTGAGTGCTGGGATTAAAGGTGTGCACCACCATGTCTGGCTTCACAACTTAAAAAAAAAAAGATAGATGAACTCCTGATCCTCTTGCATCCACTTCCCAAGTACCGTATTACATATGTGCACATAACACTCAGTTTATACAGTGTTGGGGTGGGACTCCAGGGCTTCATCCTGCTAGGCAAACACTCTACCAACTGAGGTATATTTCCACCCTAAATGTCTCCTTTCTGGAAGGATCTAGTCCTATAGGACTCATCATAGCCTCACTATGATTACCTCTGCAAAGACCCTACTTCCAAATGAGGTCACAGGGAGTAGGGGTTAGGATTTAGTTTCTTTTTGTGGGACTACAGTTCAACACACATACACCCTCACACTCTTTTTTCTTTTGAGACAGAGTGTCTTATAGCCTAGGCTGACCTTGAACTTACTATGAAGCCAAGAATGACCTTAAACTCCTCATTCTCCTGCTCCCATCTCCTGTGTGCTAGGATTGTAGGTATGTGTCACCGAGCCCAGTTTATGCGTTGGCGAGAATCAAAACTGGTGCGTGCTAGGCAGGCACTCTACCAACTTAGCCACATCCCTCCCCCCCCCCCACACCCATATTCTTTTCAGATGAAGACAGATGCTGAAGTTTAACAACTCTTCCACATTTAAACAGCTGACAGCAGTCTAGGATCAGGGTCTCCCACCTCAGCCTGGTTCTCTTCTGTACAGTTCCCCAGTTCCCTCATTGTCTCTCACTTATTGCCTATCCCCAGGTGACACAGGACAAGATCATCTGCCTGCCCAGCCATGAACCCCGAGAGAACTTATCAGAGGCTCCTTGCCAGCAGCTGTTGCCTCAAGGGGTCTCTGAGCAGATGGGGGGCCTCCGAGAGCTGAGTGGCCTCAAGAACAACCTAGATCTCCAGCAGTATAGCTTTATTAACCAGCTCTGCTATGAGACCGCCCTTCACTGGTATGCCAAGTACTTCCCCTACCTGGTGGTCATTCATACGCTCATCTTCATGGTCTGTACCAGCTTTTGGTTCAAATTCCCCGGCACCAGCTCCAAGATTGAACACTTCATCTCCATCCTGGGCAAGTGTTTTGATTCCCCATGGACCACTCGGGCCTTGTCTGAGGTATCTGGAGAGAACCACAAGGGCCCAGCTGCTGGACGGGCCATGGTGACCACAGTAACCGCAACAGGGGCAGGATCGGGAAAGGCAGGTGAAGGTGAGAAGGAGAAAGTGCTAGTCGAGCCTGAAAAGGTGGTGACCGAGCCTCCAGTGGTCACCCTGCTGGACAAGAAGGAGGGTGAACAAGCTAAGGCCCTGTTTGAGAAGGTCAAGAAGTTCCGTGTGCATGTGGAAGAGGGTGACATCCTCTACTCTATGTATATCCGGCAGACAGTGCTCAAAGTGTGTAAGTTTTTTGCCATCCTGGTTTACAACCTGGTCTATGTGGAGAAGATAAGCTTTCTGGTGGCCTGCAGGGTGGAGACCTCAGAGGTCACAGGGTACGCCAGTTTCTGCTGCAACCACACCAAGGCCCACCTCTTCTCGAAGCTGGCCTTCTGCTACATCTCCTTTGTGTGTGTGTATGGCATCACCTGCCTGTATACGCTCTACTGGCTCTTCCACAGGCCCCTCAAAGAGTACTCCTTCCGTTCTGTGCGTGAGGAGACAGGCATGAATGACATCCCAGATGTCAAGAACGACTTTGCCTTCATGCTCCACCTCATTGACCAGTATGACTCCCTCTATTCTAAACGGTTCGCCGTCTTCCTCTCTGAAGTCAGCGAAAGCCGCCTGAAGCAGCTCAACCTCAACCACGAGTGGACACCTGAGAAGCTGAGGCAGAAGCTGCAGCGCAATACGCGCGGCCGGCTGGAGCTGGCCCTCTGCATGCTCCCTGGACTGCCTGACACCGTCTTCGAGCTCAGTGAGCTGGAAGCACTCAGACTTGAAGCCATCTGTGACATCTCCTTTCCCCCAGGGCTTTCCCAGCTTGTGAACCTTCAGGAGCTCAGCTTGCTTCACTCGCCGGCCAGGCTGCCCTTCTCTTCACAGATCTTCCTGCGGGATCGCCTGAAGGTGATCTATGTCAAATTTGAAGAGCTCCGAGAGGTGCCGCTCTGGGTCTTTGGGCTTCGAGGCTTGGAGGAACTGCACCTGGAAGGACTCTTTCCCCCAGAGATGGCTCGGGCTGCCACCCTTGAGAGCCTCCGGGAGCTTAAGCAGCTCAAAGTACTGTCTCTGCGTAGCAACGCAGGGAAGGTGCCAGCCAGCGTGACTGACGTGGCTGGACACCTTCAGCGACTCAGCCTGCACAATGATGGAGCTCGCTTGCTTGCCCTCAACAGCCTCAAGAAGCTGGCGGTGTTACGGGAGCTGGAGCTGGTGGCCTGTGGGCTGGAACGTATCCCCCATGCAATCTTTAGCCTGGGGGCTCTGCAGGAACTTGACCTCAAGGACAACCACCTTAGGTCCATTGAGGAAATCCTCAGCTTCCAGCACTGTCGGAAGCTGGTCACTCTCAGGCTGTGGCACAACCAGATAGCCTACGTTCCGGAGCACGTGAGGAAGCTCCGTGGCCTGGAGCAGCTCTACCTCAGTCACAACAAGCTCGAGACTCTTCCCCCGCAGCTTGGCCAATGCTTCGGCCTCCGCCTGCTGGACGTGTCCCACAATGGGCTTCGTTCCCTGCCGCCTGAGTTGGGCCTCCTCCAGAGCCTCCAGCATCTAGCTCTCTCCTACAATGCACTAGAGAGCCTGCCTGATGAACTGTTCTTCTGCCAGAAGCTGCGGACACTGCTCTTGGGCTACAACCACCTAACTCAGCTTTCCCCTCGTGTGGCCGCCCTCCGAACCCTCAGCCGCCTGGAGCTCAAGGGTAACCGGTTGGAGGCTCTGCCAGAAGAACTCGGTGACTGCAAGGGGCTGAAGAAGTCAGGGCTGCTGGTCGAGGACACCCTTTACGAGAGTCTGCCCGCAGAGGTGCGGGAGAAGATGGAGGAGGAATGAAGCCTGGTGGGGGAGGGGCAGGCTGACACAGAGGCCTTCAGATGCTGCTTCTGCCCCAGCTTTGTCTACAGGGGAGATGTCTAATAGGCCCAGCCGGAGAGGAAGGAGAGCCAGACATGTCAGTTTTGTGCAGTTCAGACAAGATCCTGGGACTGGTTTGTCTGGGGGAGAAATAGGAACTGGTGGATTCGGGGTGTAACCCGCAGGGAAGGATTAACTCAGTCTTAGATTCTCGGACCAAAACCACACCTGTGTCTTTGGCTGGCTGGCTTGTCCTCCTCTGAACATTCCAGCTTAATTAGTGTCTTATACAGGAGTGGGGGAGCACATCCCAGTGGGATTTCCAACCCTCCCCAATGACAAATCAGCATACATCTAGGGTTCTCTCCTAAGGAGAGGACACAGGGGTCAGTTCCAAACTTCCTTATCCCAACTGTAATGCCAAGTCCTTATTTTATAAGTCCTTTGCCACAAAGATGGGTACTTAGAACAATGATTCTCACATTTAGCTATGTAATAAAATCAGCCGAGGAGCCAGGAAGAAAATAAAACATCCCACACCCCACCCCTGAAATACTGACTCACAATTTTTGGGTGGGGGCCAAGAACCTGCTACTAAATAAGTATGCCAAGTAATTCTGATTCAGGTGGTCCTGAGACTGAATAATGGAGCTGTTGACATAAAGACTGGGCAGGGACTGTAACTCAGTTGGGAGAGTGCTTGCTTAGCATGCAGGAAGCTCTGGGTTCCATCCCAAGCATTTCATAAACCAGGAGTGGTGGAGCATGCCTATATAATACTCTGGAAGCGGAGGGAGGAGGACTGAAAGGTTGAAGCCAGCTTGGGAGACATAGCAGAACTTGTTTCCAAAACAACTAAGAATGGAAACCGGAATGTCCACATACAGGGCTCCTTTTCTGGAGCCTTGGAGAATCCCAAGAAGCTAAGCACTACACTTCCTAAGGAAAAGGCTTATTTAACATTCATGAAAAACTCTGTAAACCAAGTTAGGCAGTCACAGATCCCCATTAGACTACTACTGTCTTAGTCAGGGTTTCCATTGCTGTGTCGAAACACCATGACCAAGAAGCAAGATGTGAGGAAAGGGTTTATTCAGCTTACACTTCCACAGCACTGTTCATCATTGAAGGAAGTCAGGACAGAAACTCAAACAGAGGCCGTGGAGGGGCGCTGCTTACTGACTTGCTCCTCCTGATTTCTTATAGAACCCAGGACCACCAGCCAAGGGAGGGAACCAGCCACAGTGGGCTGGGCCCTCCCCCATCAATCTCTAATGAAGTGCCTTATAGCTGGATATCATAGAGACGTTTTTCTCAGTTGAGGCGCCTTCCTCTCTGATGACTGTAGCTTGTGTCAAGTTGACATATAACCAGCCAATGAATGTACTATTCATGGGTTTAAGACTGGCTACCTTTTTCCTTAGTACATGCAGGGACTTTGTTTTTGAATGCTTCCTGTGCAGAGATGCATATCCCAGTGGGTGCTTAATAAATGAGAACTGTAATTGTGACCTCTTTGTACAGCATGGTTGTCTAAGCTTTCTATATCCAGGACCAAATGATAACACCTATCTATTAAATCAGGCTGTCTGTCCTGTAAGGAAAGACATCCAAGGTACTTAAAAAAAAAAAAAAAAAAAAAGGTGAGGTAGAGACCTCATCTAATCAAGAGAAATTAAGTGGAGTTTTCTGCCTAGTTTTTCTTTTCCCCCTAAAGAATCCAATCCACACACACACCGAAGTGGGTGGGGAGCCGGGTGGTAGTGGTGGTGTACACCTTTAATCCTAGCACTCTCAAGGCAGAGGCAGGCAAATCTCGAGTTCGAGGCTAGCCTGGTCTACAGAGCAAGTTCCAGGAAGGCCAGGATTACACAGCGAACCCATGTCTCGAAAATCTAAACCAGAACAAAGAATCCTAATTTCCTCTCCTCATCTTTTATCCTTTACACTCCAAGCTTGTGTCTGCTCCACCCGTAGGTCACCATCAGAGGAGGTCCAGTAAACTTTTAAAGGCCCATCCAAAGTTTCCAACTGTTGCTTTCAGACTTATGGCACAGCCTGACTTCCTGGGTTTGGTCACTTGCTGAATGTCCCTGTACAAGCTGCTCCTTAGCGACCCAGATTTACTGTTAGGGGCGTTATCCTAGCACCCTTTAAACGACTTAACTCTTTTTGGCGAGGGGCACCCTCAGCAGAGGCATCTAATCCCAGGGCCTGTCTTCAGATACCTTGGTCCAGGAGCTGAGCACGGATTCTCAGGGCGAAGAGATGGGGATTGGGCATCTTAAGGTCCCAGGTGGGCACGGCCAGGAAGCCTGGCCTTACGCTTGATTCTGACACCGAGCTCAGGAATCGCAGACTCTGGATTCCCTCTCCTCCTATCAGGCCTTAATCTACTCTATACTGGCTGAAAAGGAAAGGGATTCCCACGGGTGCCTAATTATGGTGACAGCGGGAGGGCAGGGCACCATCAAGCATAACAGGTCCTAATGAGGAACTGGCCAAGATGAGGAAGGTTGTTCTGTGAAGACGCGGATGCCAGGGAGGGCCAGGGCTGGGAAGAGCCCACAGGAAGTTAACCTAGGCACGGTGCGAAGGAGAATCCGGGAACAGCCGCGAGCGTGCGCAGTAAAAGCCGCGCGCGCGGCCGGTCTCCCCGTCTGCACGTACGCGTGCCGTCTTGCCCGCCTTCCGCTTTATTAAAAAAGAAAAAAAAAAAAAAGAAAAAGAAAAAAAATCGTGATTTTTGAACTGCGCCTCTCTCCAGAAGAGCTGGGAAATCCACGCACGCGCACTGCGCGAGGTGGCGGTGGGCGATGACAATGCACACGGCCAGCCCGGAGCTCTAGGTGGCGTCAGCGCCCGGCCGGGGCACAGTGCGCACGCGCGGCGCTAACCACTCGGGGCAAGGCAGGCACGCGCTGGGTTGGGCTGGGCAGGGCAGGACGGCGGCTCGGCGGGGTCATTGAGGCGCAGGCGCAGTGCGGTGTTTGTCTGCCCGGGACTGACGGGCGGCCTGGCGGCGAGCGGCGGCAGCGGCGGCGGCGGCGGCGGGGAAGATGGCGGCGTCCTCCCTGGAGCAAAAGCTGTCCCGCCTGGAAGCCAAGCTGAAGCAGGAGAACCGCGAGGCCCGGAGGCGGATCGACCTCAGCCTGGATATCAGCCCCCCCCAGCGGCCCAGGCCCAGTAAGCACGGCGGCGTGGGGGAGGGGGCGG